CAGGTGGGTCTCTTGTTTGATAATGGAGGAACAGTGTTTTTCAGTGCCTTCATGTCTCTGTGGGCCGTCACCTTCCTGGAGTTCTGGAAGAGAACCTGTTCAAGCCTGTCTCACCGCTGGGACTGCTCCGAATTCCAGGACATCGAGGTACCTGTCTCACACCGCGCCTGTCTCACAAAATACTGGCCATTTCCAGGTCGCCTATCATAACAAATCTTGTTTTTATGAAGAAAATAATTGTATTGGAAAATAATGATAACACTCATCACACATTGTGTTCAAATGTTCCTCACTTGGCAAAACAGGCTAAATTGCAATAAAATATTAGACAGGCTCTGGATATATCTGACACCTGTGAGATATTGATGAAGAAGAGGATCATAGGGACCTTGAAGTCTACACTGTGCTTGTACTCACACATAACCAGTGCTTGAAGTGGGCTGCTACCAGCACTTTGCTCTTTGGTGTACCGTGACTTTTAGTATCGTACCGGCTCTTCTCTCCGGCTGCTGGTTCTCTAATCAATGCTCTGTTCAATTGATCCTTTCGCCATTAAATCGGGTAAAAAACTGCATTTCCCAGGGAGCATTGCGTTCTCAGCAGATCCTCATGTGCTAACATCTAACATAAGCGTTCCTAAAGAAGCTAAACTACATCCTCTACTAGTCGGCGGCTTGTCTAGGGAATTTAAACTCATTATAATGTAGTGATGGGAGTTACGGCCGTTTGAAGGGAGCCGGATCTCATGGCTCCGTTCCTTTCCGAGAGCCGTTCAAAAGAGCCGTTTTTTCTAAGGGGGCGGGGCTAACTTGTTTATCTGCGAAATAATCACCAGGATAATGATGGACTGTATCGCCAGAAATCTACTTTTAATCACGGAAAAATGTATAACTTGCTCCATCTCTCAGCCGAACTACTCAAGCAGCGTTACGCCATCATCTAGGGAACATTTGCATTCAGGAAAGCAAGTTGCCGTAAAGGCGAGTGGATTCATGGCAGGCAGCGAACCAACGGTAAAAAGAACGGCTCTCACCAAGTACGACTCGGTTCCCTTCGTTCGAGCCGTTCAAAAGAATCGGATCGTTCGCGACCGTCACATCACTATTATAATGTTGACCTGGCTCCAAAAACACGAAGATGACACAGTTAGAAACGGACGATGACACGCCAGATATTAAAAGTCAAACCCTTGATTAGTTCAGGCCAGGAGCAAGCTAACATTAGCGACCCATCAACAGCCTGGTGATGAAATGCCCGACTGTTGGTCAAGAGATACAATTATGTTTTTCATCCCCCCCAACAGATGTCCATGTCAGCCCTGATGAGTTTTAGCACCACAAACTAAAGCGAATGCAATCAAATCATTGACATGGTTCCCTTTTAAAAAAACTTGTGTTGTGAAGCACAACAATATCTCATAGTATCTTAAATGTATTTGTATACAATGTAAATGAGGGAGTACTGGCCCTTTTGTCCCCTCACATCAAGCACTGTACATAACTTGTGTGATATTTGACAACCTCACGGCAGATGAAGCAAGATTAGGTTTTTTTTAAACAATATCTTTATTGAGTTTTTCATTTTTTACAAGCACAAGCCATGACATCCATAAACACAGATATCAACAATGAGTGAATAAGACATGTGCAACTAAAGTAGGTTTAATGGTTTTAAATATATGGGACTGGTAAATTGAATTGAGAGACCAAACACATGATCTGTAAAGCAGCTGAGTATGAATCGTATTTAGGTTTATTTTGTTAGACGGCGACCTCTAGTGGCAGAGTATATAGTAGCAACAAAGTGAGCATAAGGAGGAGGGTGATGCATGGGTGATTCAAATAGACATGTCAGACTTTGAATGGCTTCTGAAATGTATTGGAGTGGCATATAATTAAAAAAACTCAAGTAATGTACAAGTAACTCGAACTTGTACTTAAGTTCAGTCGTTGACGTATTCAATCACATCCACCAGAAAGCGCTACCAAACCTCGACAGTTACGTTTAGCTATGAGGACGTGTTGATCGCTGATTTATGAGATGCTCCTCTGGGTCATCATATTGGGTATAGGAACAACTGTGTTAAAGAATAAATGTGTTATATTATACCAGGGGTGTCCAAACTACGGCTCAGGGGCCAAATGCGGCCCGCGGACCATTTGGCCCTCAGCAAATTAAAAAAGGCATAAGGGAGTATGGCCCACAAATGAAACTTCTGCTTGTCTTATATTGTACTTCTTAAATATATATGTTCAAATATATAACATGGTATTCATTTGTTAATAAGCCCAATTTTCAAATAGATTCAGTCAATTCAAGTTGAAAACATTTTCTAACAAATCTAAGTTGATGAGAAAAAAGCCCAATAATAAATGTACATAACCTTGAAATAAACCCTTCATATTCCTCTTATTATAATCAATCTGAAGCTTCTGTTTGAAGGAATGAGCTCCCAACACAATACACGAAACCATGTGGAGAGCTGTGACAGAGGCTGTTTGTTTCTTAAAGCATTTTCAAGTATCAAGAATAATTTACCTACACTTGATTGATTTTTCTTGAGGGGATACACCTCTAGTGAGTGGCCCAGCCCTTGATATATTTTTCTGTATGTGGCCCTTGTTGGAAAACGTTCGGTCACCCCTGTACTATATATTTCTGTCTCCGTCCTCCACAGGAGCGACCTCGCCCGGAGTTCACGGCCATGGCACCGATGACGATCAGGAACCCGGTGACGGGAGCGGAGGAACCCTACTTTCCTAAAAATAAACGAATCAACCGAACGCTGACTGGCTTCATGGCCATCATCATCATGGTGAGTCTCCTCTGTCCTCTGACACTGGGATGTAATGAAACAGGGACACTTGATGAATAACCTTTTTAATGCAGGACTTTTACTTGTAACAGTGTATTTTTACTTAGTACTAAGTTAATTATGTGAATTGGCGCTTTCACACCGGAGTACTTTTCCCCCCGAACTAGGCCGATAGGTGGGGGAGATTTGGTTTCACACCAAAAAGGATCTGGAACTAGTCCTTAGTTTGCGCGAACTTTTTCACCTACAGATAGTACCTGCTAGAGAGGTGGTACTTTCCTGAGGAGGAAATGGTTCGTGGGTGTGTCGGCCACACTAACAATTTCTGATTGGCTGGGCGAATTGCAAACCACGCCCCGTAAAACTCTGAAAAGTTTTGCGGCTTTATTTGCCTAATCCTCCCTCAGGGACTTATTCCGGTGAGAACGCGATCTACTAGGACAGTACCAGGGACTAAAGAGTTCGGGGGGAACAAGTACCGGGGACAAGTACCGGCTAAGTATGTGTGTGAAAGCGACTAATGTCTTCCTCCTGTGGTCTGACATTGGGTTTCCATTCCATCCACTGGAGCTGACAACAAGAATCAATGGTTGGAGTTTTCCAGATGTTAATGATTTATTTATTTCTAAAAGTGAAAATGATTTGTAGATATTCAACCACCTGTGTGCAGGTTGCTGTTGTGCTGTTGTTTCTGATCGCCATCATCCTGTATCGCACCATCCTGTCCATCGTTATCGACAAGTCGGACACCCCTTTAACCGGCTTTGTGAGTTTAACAAAACAGGAAACGTTTTAAAGTGTTTCTTTAAATCTCTAAAATTGTTCTGAGACAATGTCTATTTTATTATTATAAGTTATAACAAAAAATGAGTTGTAGGAAATATTTTTTTGAAGTTTTGTTGCCATATTTTATGGTTTTAAACATGTATTTGTAAAATAATGCTTAACTACATTATAAGAAATGGTTTATTCGAAAACATGTTTTTCAAAAGGAAATTATTATTTAATGACCAATAAAATAAAACGTCAAGATGTGTTATATATATATTTTATTTAGTGTATAAGAGAAACAACAGAGGCTCCAGGACGCTTCCCTGAGGAACCCCACAACTTAGTGACTTCACATTTCTGTCTTTTCTCAGGCCTCTAGGATAGCCAGTATCACAGGATCCGTGTTGAACCTGTTGGTGATCCTCATGTTGTCCAAAGTTTACACCTCGCTGGCTCACATCCTCACGCGCTGGGGTGAGTCACACCTGCCTCCTCACCCTCCTCACCCTCCTCACCCTCCTCACCCTCTGTTTTAGATTTTGCCATTGTATGAAAAGTTATTTCAGACACATTTCAGATTAGTTCTGGTGAACAAAAACTGAAGAAGATTTAGTTTAAATGTTTTTATCAGTTTTTAGTTTTCACATATTGTCAGTTGTACTTGTTATTAAAAATCTTCACTGTTTTGCGTCTTTGTTTGAAAACTGTTGGCAATTTAATATTTTATAGATAATAATAATTAATACATTTTTGATTCTTGTAATCAGTTGTTTAAGGCGACTTTTGGGGGCATTTAACCATTATGTTTTAAATCATGTATCTAGCTAGTTACCTCAACATTAGCCAACAAAGTAACCTGGATTAAACCAAACATTTGAACATTATTGTAAAAGTAACAGGAATTTAATTTTCAATATCATAGCAGGGAAGGTAAAATTGGTCACAAATGTTTGATGATAGTTGAGAACCACCTAAAGGCAACGTTGCCAGATTAAAAGCGTATGTGTAGGATTACATTATGGATGTATTCTGGTGTGTACTAGTGTGTATTGTGTGTATATTGTGTGTAGTATTCCTTTATGGAGACAATGTTGTGTTCTTCCCGTCAGAGATGCACCGGACTCAGTCTAAATATGAAGACATGTACATCCTCAAAGTGTTCATCTTCCAGTTCATCAACTTCTACTCGTCCCCGGTTTACATCGCCTTCTTCAAAGGCAGGTGAGGAAAAATTCAACCAATCACAACACGGATCACTTATTCCTCTTTTTTTCTTTCATTTGGATATTTACCTCAATGTCTTTGGCTCGGTTTGTCGAAAATGGTTGTTTCAGAAACGACGCAGATATAAAACACAAATATCCCCAAAAAAAACGAAGAACCCTCTTCAGCAACAACACATGCAGCGTTTAGAGAACATCCAGCAGCTTGAGGAGACATGGCAGCGTTTAGAGAACATCCAGCAGCTTGAGGAGACATGGCAGCGTTTAGAGAACATCCAGCAGCTTGAGGAGACATGGCAGCGTTTAGAGAACATCTAGCAGCTTGAGGAGACATGGCAGCGTTTAGAGAACACTCAGCAGCTTGAGGAGACATGGCAGCGTTTAGAGAACACTCGGCAGCTTGAGGAGACATGGCAGCGTTTAGAGAACATCCAGCAGCTTGAGGAGACATGGCAGCGTTTAGAGAACATCCAGCAGCTTGAGGAGACATGGCAGCGTTTAGAGAACATCCAGCAGCTTGAGGAGACATGGCAGCATTTAGAGAACATCCAGCAGCTTGAGGAGACATGGCAGCGTTTAGAGAACATCTAGCAGCTTGAGGAGACATGGCAGCGTTTAGAGAACACTCAGCAGCTTGAGGAGACATGGCAGCGTTTAGAGAACATCCAGCAGCTTGAGGAGACATGGCAGCGTTTAGAGAACATCCAGCAGCTTGAGGAGAAATGGCAGCGTTTAGAGAACATCCAGCAGCTTGAGGAGACATGGCAGCGTTTAGAGAACATCCAGCAGCTTGAGGAGACATGGCAGCGTTTAGAGAACATCCAGCAGCTTGAGGAGACATGGCAGCGTTTAGAGAACACTCAGCAGCTTGAGGAGACATGGCAGCGTTTAGAGAACATCCAGCAGCTTGAGGACACATGGCAGCGTTTGGAGAACATCCAGCAGCTTGAGGAGAAATGGCAGCGTTTAGAGAACACTCAGCAGCTTGAGGAGACATGGCAGCGTTTAGAGAACATCCAGCAGCTTGAGGAGACATGGCAGCGTTTAGAGAACATCCAGCAGCTTGAGGAGACATGGCAGCGTTTAGAGAACATCCAGCAGCTTGAGGAGACATGGCAGCGTTTTAGTGAACATCCAGCAGCTTGAGGAGACATGGCAGCGTTTAGTGAACATCCAGCAGCTTGAGGAGACATAGCAGCGTTTAGAGAACATCCAGCAGCTTGAGGAGACATGGCAGCGTTTAGAGAACATCCAGCAGCTTGAGGAGACATAGCAGCGTTTAGAGAACATCCAGCAGCTTGAGGAGACATAGCAGCGTTTAGAGAACATCCAGCAGCTTGAGGAGACATGGCAGCGTTTAGAGAGCATCCAGCAGCTTGAGGAGACATGGCAGCGTTTAGAGAACATCCAGCAGCTTGAGGAGACATCGCAGCGTTTAGAGAACATCCAGCAGCTTGAGGAGACATGGCAGCGTTTACTAAAAGCTGCAGAAACCAAACGCTGCAAATACAAAACATTTGGGCCGTTGTAGAGCGTTTGTATCAATTTAGGAATAAACAGGGCTCTTTAACACAGAATATGTAAGCATGGCTTTTGATTAATACAATCGCTGCTTTGTGCATTGTTGCCTACATGTGACGATCCAAGATGGCGGCGTGTACCGAAACTACATCCACAATGGTGGTGCAGTTTATCCTTCTTTGAGAACGCTGCCATAAACACAGAAACACATGCACTTTTTGTACTGTAAAACATTTGTGTAACAGAAAAAATGTGTAACCAGCTGTTAATTTCTTTGTGTTTGTTCAGGTTTGTTGGTTATCCTGGAAATTACAACACTCTGCTAGGAATTCGCAACGAAGATGTGAGTCTGCAGTATATTAATACCGTACATATATACACATTATGTTTTAGCTAAAGGCGGCTAATGTTGGGCTATAAAGGAACTACAGCTCGGTCACATGACTTCACGTAACCACCGCTAAGCTAAAGGTGGCTAATATTGGGCTATAAAGGAACTACAGCACGGTCACATGACTTCACGTCACCACCGCTAAGCTAAAGGAGGCTAATGTTGGGCTATAAAGGAACTACAGCACGGTCACATGACTTCACGTCACCACCGCTAAGCTAAAGGTGGCTAATGTTGGGCTATAAAGGAACTACAGCTCGGTCACATGACTTCACGTCACCACCGCTAAGCTAAAGGTGGCTAATGTTGGGCTATAAAGGAACTACAGCTCGGTCACATGACTTCACGTCACCACCGCTAAGCTAAAGGCGGCTAATATTGGGCTATAAAGGAACTACAGCACAGTCACATGACTTCACGTCACCACCGCTAAGCTAAAGGAGGCTAATGTTGGGCTATAAAGGAACTACAGCACGGTCACATGACTTCACGTCACCACCGCTAAGCTAAAGGTGGCTAATGTTGGGCTATAAAGGAACTACAGCTCGGTCACATGACTTCACGTCACCACCGCTAAGCTAAAGGCGGCTAATATTGGGCTATAAAGGAACTACAGCACAGTCACATGACTTCACGTCACCACCGCTAAGCTAAAGGAGGCTAATGTTGGGCTATAAAGGAACTACAGCACGGTCACATGACTTCACCACCGCTAAGCTAAAGGTGGCTAATGTTGAGCTATAAAGGAACTACAGCACGGTCACATGACTTCACGTCACCACCGCTAAGCTAAAGGTGGCTAATGTTGGGCTATAAAGGAACTACAGCACGGTCACATGACTTCACGTCACCACCGCTAAGCTAAAGGTGGCTAATGTTGGGCTATAAAGGAACTACAGCTCGGTCACATGACTTCACGTTACCACCGCTAAGCTAAAGGCGGCTAATATTGGGCTATAAAGGAACTACAGCACGGTCACATGACTTCACGTCACCACCGCTAAGCTAAAGGAGGCTAATGTTGGGCTATAAAGGAACTACAGCACGGTCACATGACTTCACGTCACCACCGCTAAGCTAAAGGTGGCTAATGTTGGGCTATAAAGGAACTACAGCACGGTCACATGACTTCACGTCACCACCGCTAAGCTAAAGGCTGCTAATGGTGGGCGTGATGGCGTTTAGTCGTCTCATTTGTGATTTTGTGTGTGTGTCTGTGTGACAGTGTGGAGCCGGGGGATGCCTCATTGAATTGGCTCAGGAGCTGCTGATCATCATGGTGGGAAAACAGCTGATCAACAACATCCAGGAGTTCCTCTTACCGTAAAAACAACACACAACACAAATCAAACACGATCATAAACAAAAAACAACTTAATTGTTGTCACCCTGTGATGTTTCTTTACATTTTATATTCAAACTCTATGTTGAAGCTGTTTGAGTTAAAGAGGCCCTCTTCTGCTTTCTTGTTCCCTCTCCTGTAGTGTGTTCTATAGGTTTCTGTGCATGTAAATTGTCTGCAAAGGCTAACATCCCTGTGTTCCCCTCCTGAGGGAGTTTCTCTCCCACACACTAGAGATAGAGATATTATATAATAATATTTTTCATATTTTTAACACATTTTTACGGAGCCCTGGAGGGTTCATAGAGAGAAAAATAAATAAAACGAGGCCACGCTTTATTAATTCGTGCGCACTATACTCTCTCGTTCTTATGGTTAGACACATCGAATTGCCCGATTATTACGCCGTATTATTAGTTTTATGAAGAAGATGTCCGGTCGCCAGGGCGTGTGTGTGTGTGTATGTGTGGGCATTTGTTTTCAGAAGATATTATGATAGTGGCGTTCGCTCCGGTGCACTCCGACAGCATTTAGCACTAGCCTACATCGAGATTAAGATTAAACGAACTGCTTTCACTTGGGAATATACATATGGAGTTAGCCAGATGTGTGTAAATTACTGTTCATGGTCATTTCAATTCTGTGTCGGACACACAAATACACCGAACACACACACACACACATCGTGTAGCATTTCACGTTTCCATAGCAACAACAACTTCCTGTCAACAGCGTAAACTCGCCTTCAAAATAAAAGCATCTAAATAAAACAGAAAGTTAACCTAAATTACATTTAAGACATATACAACTGCAACGAAAGTAAAAAAACAATGTCATATCCTTTTCAGTTTCACAGAACACAAATTGGGTTATTTACACATCATGCGCCCTGGTGACCGGACATCTCCTTCATAAAACGAGTAATAGGGGGAATAATCGGGCAGTTCGATGTGTGTGTGTGTGGTGTGTGTGTGTGTGTGTGTGTGTGTGTGTGTGTGTGTGTGTGTGTGTGTGTGTGTGTGTGTGTGTGTGTGTGTGTGTGTGTGTGTGTGTGTGTGTGCGTGTGCGTAAAAGACACAGCTCTCTGCAGACAGCAGATACTGTGAGAGTCACGGACATGAATTCATAGATCAAGGCAGACTGGTTTTCAGACTCTCCTGTTTTGCGAATCCGGTGCTTAAACAAATAGGTCTACACCTCTGGCCCAAATGTCCCTAAAATGAAGTCCGAGTTTGAAATATATCTCAAATAATGTATGCACTGCCATTTCCCCACGTAAACATAACAGTCTGCAATTAAATGGTTGTCTCCTGTGCGCTCCTCTTCCTACTTGGCGCACCGGTAACTTTATTGTGCTCACGAGAAATTATATCGTGCACACCAATTAATAAATTGTGGCCTCGTTTTATTTAAATGCAGACCACGAATTACATCTCGTGAGCACAAATTAATAAAACGTGGCCTCGTTTTATTTATGTTTCTCTCTATGAACCCTCCAGGGCATTTTTCATACATTTTTTGAAATTTGTATCATGTATTTTACAAATTGTTAAAAAAAATATATTCCCAAATTCCAGGCAAACAACTTCACAGAAACTTTTTTTTTTTGGTATCAAATAATTTTCCCATAAAGTTTGAACAAAATCAAAAATGTAAACCGCACATTAACTTGACCTGTCTCTTTTCTAACTGCGAGTAAAAGTGAGAGCTCACTATTTTATAGGAAGCTGAAGTCGTGGTGGCAGAAGAGGAACAGAAGTCCTCGGCTGAAGGAGCAGAAGGGGGAGAAAGACGAGGAAGGGAAGGGGGAGAAAGACGAGGAGCAGAAGGGGGAGAAAGACGAGGAAGGGAAGGGGGATGAAGAGGAGGAGGTTTGTCCCTGGGAGGCAGATTACCAGCTGCTGGTCTGCGAGGGACTCTTCAGCGAATACCTGGAGATGGGTGAGAGTTACAAGAGCATCAAGTATTGTACTTTAATACCTTCAGTTACTTCACAGATCTGGATGAATGATGTGAAATCTAATCAAGTGTTGAATCAGACTTTAGTTCCACCTGGAGTAAATCCACCAGCTACCCTGCAGTATACAAAGCCATTCAAACTAGCTGCACCTTCACCAGCTTTGAGAACACTTTCATGATCAATCATTATAAAACATATCATATATATTATTCTGAAATGGACCAATCTGCACAACGACTACTTTTACTGTCGCTACTTTCACTATATTTAGATGAGAATACTTTTCTACTTTCACTTGAGGAACATTTTGAATGAGGACTTTGACTGTAACAGAGTATTCCTACACTCTGGTACTTCTAGTTTTACTCAAGTACAAGATCTGAGTACTTCTACTTTTACTCAAGTACAAGATCTGAGTACTTCTACTTTTACTCAAGTACATGATCTGAGTACTTCTACTTTTACTCAAGAACAATATCTGAGTACTTCTACTTTTACTAAAGTACAAGATCTGAGTACTTCTACTTTTACTCAAGAACAAGATCTGAGTACTTCTACTTTTACTAAAGTACAAGATCTGAGTACTTCTACTTTTACTCAAGTACAAGACCTGAGTACTTCTACTTTTACTCAAGTACAAGACCTGAGTACTTCTACCACCTCTGGATTTGTTCACCTGTGTCTACCTGACTGGTGTGGTTAACGGAGATGCAACGACTCCCTCTTCCTCCTCAGTGATCCAGTTTGGTTTCATCACCATCTTCGTGGCGGCGTTTCCTCTCGCCCCTTTCTTCGCTCTCATCAATAACTGGGTGGAGATCCGCCTGGATGCTCAGAAGTTTGTGACTGAATATCGCCGCCCGGTGGGGGAGCGAGTGCAGGACATCGGCATCTGGCTACCCATCCTGCAGCTCATCACGCACGTGGCCGTTTTCAGCAACGTAAGACTCTCCGCAGTGACGTTATTGCACGTTATTGCCTTCAAGGTCCAACACAGATCATCCCTGCAAATGTATATTCCTCATGATTCACCCTCGATGTTCCTATTTGTCTCACATGACCGTTAGAGATTCAAATTGCTGACTCATCTTCTCAGAATGTGAACTTCTCCACACCTGTTTTCAGGCTTTCCTCATCGCCTTCACCTCGTCCTTCCTGCCTCGCCTGTACTACCGCAACACCAGAGACAGCAATCTCAACGGCTTCATCAACTTCACTCTGGCAACATCACCAAGCAACTTCAGCCAGCAACACACACGGTGCAGGTAGGCAACGTCACCAACAACACGCAACAGGAAATGCAATCTGTTGATGAAGTTGTTGTTTTCTATGCTGTGCTGAACAGGTATCTGGATTTGAGGGACGAAGAAGGACACTACCTCCCTGAGTACTATCACCTCCTCGCCATACGACTCGCCTTCGTCATCGTGTTTGAGGTCCGTGTTTTAAGTTTTGTTTTAGAGTCCAGCTGCGGGAATGAGTCCTGAACTCTGACATGACTCAGCATCTCCTCCCTTCCTGTCCCTTGGCCTCTCTTCAATGGTTTTCTGAATGTGTTTCTGGTTGTTATCCTGAAATAAGATCTGTGGTTAACACAAGCTGAAGAGATTTTAACGTTTCGTTCTACGACATTCATGTCAGTGAATAAATACCCCACTGGTGGATTTAAAAACCGAGGTTGCAAACAAGTTTCTAAATGAGAAGACTAAACGTCATCCCGACCATGCCCTCACCCTGACTAGAGATGGGAATTACGACTCTCTGAAGGGAGCCGGATCTCATGGCTCCGTTCCTTTCTGAGAGCCGTTCAAAAGAGCAGTATTTTTTTAAGGGGGCGGGTTACTAGGTTTGTCTGCGAAATATTCACCAGGATAATGATTGACTGTATCGCCAGAAATCTACTTTTACTCACAGTAAAATGTATAACTTGCTACATCTCTCAGCCAAACTATACTCAAGCAGCGTTACGCCATCATCATCTAGGGAACATTTGCATTCAGGAAAGCAAGTTCCTTTGAAGGCGAGTGGATTCATGGCAGGCAGTGAACCAACGATAAAAAGAACGCCAAGTACGACTCAGTTCCCTTCGTTCGTTCCAAAGAGCCGTTCAAAAGAGCCGTTCAAAAGAATCGGATCGTTCGTGAACGTAACATCACTAACCCTGACCTCCTCTCCCCTCCTCAGCACGTGGTGTTCTTCATCGGCCGAATGATCGACCTGATAGTTCCCGATGTCCCAGAGGATGTGGAGATCAAGATCAAGAGAGAGCATTACCTGGCTAAAGAAGCGCTGGCTGAGAACCAGGTTCAGAAAACCTGCTTCAGTCCTGCTGTGGCGACCGGGGGTTCGACTCCGGCCTGAGGGCCTTCCAAACCCTCTCATCCCCTTCAAATCTGTCTGTCCTGTATCCAATGTTTTGCTCACTGCATAAGAGAATGATTTGACCTCTATTTTATTGTCTTGTTGTTTGGAAAGTATTTGGTCCCATTAGTCCAATGCACATATCTTGATAGAGATCATTTATGTTCAGCGCTCCTTCTGATTGGAATACCTTACCACCAAACATACAATGCTTTTATTCTTATTTAGCTGAGAATTGTACATGCTTTTGATGAATCAGCACATACAAAACACTAGGTTTGTATTTATTGTATTGCTTGAACTCTTCATGGACTCTCTGTGGACACACACTTAGACCATTGTTGTGTTGTGATTGTCGTAGTCTGTTGGTTGTATTGTGACTTGATTTAGTTTTGTTTGTTTTTTTACTGTCTTGCTGTTACAAGCCCCTTGAAGACAAGAGGGTTCATCTCAAGGGGTTGATCTGAAATAAATACATTTCAGTTCATTTCTTAAAGCCATGATATTAGTACTCGAGAAATTGTTCAAAACATGTTTCCCTGCATTAATTAAATATGTAAATGTTTTTATTTGAACCTTTTATTTGAACCTGTGTGAAAGGTGGGGTAGGTAATTCACTTCAGAAACACTTGTTGTTATATTGCATGGAATGCTCTTAACATCCCGATAGCAATGAACATCTGAAGTGCTTTGACAACAAATCCATAACAAAATCTCATCTGTGGAAGCCGTAAAAAGCACGACCAATCATCTGAGCCGGCTAAAGTAACTGGATGGCCTACCTGCCTGTCAGCCTTCCATCTGTGCACAAACTTATCTTGTGCCCTCATTGGTCATGTGCGTGTTCGTGTGTGTTGGAGGAGGGGCTCTGTAAGGAAGTGGCAGATTTTTTTCTGGTTGTGTATTTTCAGATTCTAGCCACTCGAGCTGGTTTCTCCAAAGTTACCTACCCCACCTTTAACATAAGATTCAATAGTTTTGATTAATTATGGTATTCCTTTAAGAAAATACAAATACATAATCCAGCATTTATGAGAATAATATAATGAAATATACAGGTTTAGATGTTTTATTTATGAAAATTATGCAATCCAATCATTATGGAGACTCAAAATGTCAATCAACAAATGTATAGAGAACATAGTTAAGAGGATTAATACCTTTATAAAAATCTTTCTGTGAATAAGAATACAAATGTGTCATTGGTTTTGCTGTTTACAACAGTAGGCCTATTTAAAATAAATAAATGGGCAAACAATCACATTTGTGGAAAGAGACATTTATTTATAATTTGAAGGTGATGGGATGGAGAAGATATTTATATTTTTTCTTGTGCGGTTAATTTATTCTATGGGAATATTTAACATCCACTAGAATACAATAGATGGACTGGGTGTTTCTCAATGTCGAGGAAGGATCCTCCAGAGCCACTATTTCAAGGATGCTATGTCATCGAATCCCGTCGAAGGACTGTTCCAATGTCCAGGATCAGGGACGTGCACAGACATTTGGAGGGGCTATTGCTCTAAACTGGAAAAAGGGCCTGCCCCCCGATAAAAAACACAAGACATTTTGAAAATTGTAACTTGTTTTTAATGTAAAAGAAACCAAACGATTATTACATCAACTAAATTGAACAGTAATTCACATCTCATAACAAAATAAGCTAAGGCGACTACTTGCATTCGTGCATTTGTCCCTTATACCCTAACTGCCATGAGACAACTCAAAATCAAGTTTCCAAAATCTGACACTGAGGCGGTCTTAACGCAGAGGCAGATGACAGCGCTGACAAAGTGTGTTTCCCGCAGCGAGACGCTACAATACTGATTGTGGGCTTATCATGTTGATTCGGCCACAACAGAAAAAAGAAAAACAAACTCTTGCTCTCTTCAGAGGGGCGGGTCAGCCAAGAAGGCCAAACGGGCCGTTGCCCGGGCAACATTAGCCCGTACCTGTGCACGTCCCTGTCCAGGATCCTTGGAATTCTACCGAGGACTGAATCCTTCGTTGCAAGACATTTCGAGGATGCACCAGTGTATATATTTTATTTTAAATACCTGCTTTGTCTGTGTACCACTAATGAATGGTTTTGTGTGAATATGTTGTAATGTTCCTTTTTTTTCTTGAATAAAGTAAAAAAACAAAAACTTTTTGCACCTTTTGCTTAGTTTCGTATTTAAACACATTCTGACAACTTGTAACACAAATAATATCCTTCTTTATTTCAGTAACTGGGCAGCTTTCGTTTTCACCTGTAGTGTAAAGCAAAATGATATGCCCATGACGCCGGGTCTGTATATAACTTTAATTAATGAGGATGGTTTTTTGGTTTAAATTAGTTTGAACATTCTTTGAATTGAAGAATAAAGAATATGTTAACTAATCGTTAACTTGAATCAGCTAAAGTAACTGAGCAGATCATAATCATATTTCTAATTGTGCATATGTCACTCCGGGTTTACTGTGAAAGTTTAGGGTTAAAGTCCCGATGTGACAGCGATGTTTGTCTCATTTCTTTCATATCAATTTGATCAATAAATGTTTCCACAACAGGTTAAATGTAATAAAGGACATGTTATGTAAGCATTTTCATTCTTAAATGGCTTGAATTTGACCTTTAGCAACAACAAAAAAGCTTTTGAAATGTAGCTCGTTCTGTCACATGTGTTAGCCTGGCACATGGACATCCTCGACATGTTGCTATGGGAACACAAAGTCACATGACCTGGACCATGACCCCCCAGACTGTTCAGGGTGTGTCACTGAGGGACTTCATGAGATAAAATAAAGGCTAAAGCTGTATAAGGAACTTTCCAGAACATTTAAAGTTCATGTGACACCTGTGTCACGGTGGGTCCTTATAAGAACAATTTTGAGGTACTTGTAGTTAACTTGAGTATTTCTATTTTATACTACTTTGTATTTCTACTTCACTACAATTCAGAGTTTTAAAAAAAAGAAAAGATATAGGATATTTTATATATATATATATATATATATAAAATATCTTATATCTTTTCTTTTTTTTAACATTTTCAAAACATTATTGTATTACTCTCATATATATATATATATATATATATATATATATATATATATATATATATATATATATGAGAGTAATACAATAATGTTTTAAAAATGTTAAATTCATGATTTTAACATAGATGTATTTAACCTTTGGGAACTGGGAGAGGTAACTGGTTCTAGTTTTCATCATATCATTATTTGAATATTATTATTTCTGGAAGATGTGTTTTGTGAGTAATATAATATTAAAAAACACACTCTAAATACATGTAAATATATATAATATGTATGCCCCAAATATGTATATATGTTCATTTGAATTAATTTCTTATTTTAACTGTATCTGATTTTTATTTTATTTGATCTTTTAATTGTATTAATTTCTAATCTTGTGTGAATCTGTTTTTAATGTTCACCCTGTTGCTGTTTGAACAACTGAAATTCCCCACGGGGATTAATAAAGGTCTATCTTATCTTATCTTATAATAAAGTGGTACATTCATCTGTTTGCAACTTATATCTTATATATCAATATTCCAATTACTTGTATATATAGACTATTCTGCACTATTTCTATTATATTCTATGTTATTTTATTTACTTGCACTATTTTCAGTTTTATTGTTGTTGCACTGTTGGAGGAGCCTGTGACCTAAGTCTTTATGTCTTTATTAGGATCCCCATTCACACTAGCATGAGCATTGGCTATTCTTCCAGGGGTCCTCACACACACAAAACATACATAAACATACATACAACAAAATTAAAACAAAACAGCTCATAACTTCATGCAATATTAAATGAAAACTAAAATGGTCATCCAATTTTCGCCATCATAAGGCCAAACAACAAATTACAAGTGGACATAATAATATATACATACCCACAGGCACAGTAACATTTTACTTTATAATACTGAGATCATTTGTTAGCAACCTTTCATTGTCATATCGACACTGTAGCTATGCACAAATGACAATAAAAAGCCTTGAATCTTGAATCTAGTGTGTTCCTGGACAGGCGCTAATTTCTTACCCTGTTTGAACTACTGAATCTCCCCATGGGGATTAATAAAGGTCCCATTGTATCTGTCCTGGTTCTGAGCAGGACCTGTGAACTCATACTTGTTATCTCTTGTCATTGTAAAAGTTATTTCATTTTGGTTGTTTTGTACAAAAACAAGTATTTATTTTAAACAATTAATCCAATATCACCATGCTGAGGACGATTTCCTAACCTTTTATTTTCAAGTTAAATGTATGTTAGAGGGGGTATGACCAGAAACGTTTTAAGCTCTTCTTGCCCTGTTGAACATGACAGACTATGTGAGAATTATTATTTTTTGCTTCTCTTTGTTATAATTATTATTACAATTATTATTATTTGTGTTTGTTTTGTTTCTGACATGTTCAATAAATTGACTAATAAAAACAATAAAGTGGCGGTTTTTTTCCCGGACAGGCGCTCTGAGGACAGCTCAACCCTCTCCCCGTGTGACGTGAAGGACCTCCTCCTCCGACACACAGCAGCAGTGATGGCGGACTACGACAACTACGAGGATCGGGACCGGGCCTACGGGAGCTTCGGCGGCGGCAGAGGGTGAGTCTCCTCCGGCAACACTTCCTCCACACGGACAACCGCGGACAGAGAGCCGGAAAATAGGACTGTGTTCCCCGGTTCTCTGTGTGTGAGGAGGACCAGGCCCCGACCGGCCCTCCCTCAGAAGGCCGGACATGAGGGGGGGAGGCCGGGCGCAACGGCAGGAAACACCGCGGTCTGACGCACACACATGTGGGGGAAATACACCCGGAAAATAACGTGTTTTAAACTGAGATCCCGGGGTAGTTTTACAGCACTTTTATTCCGAGACGGGAATGGTTTTAATATCTGTAAAATGTTCTTATGCTAGGTTTTGTATCTCATACGTTTGTTTGTATGTATAGTTTCTTAATATGTAGGTGAGCTGAGCAATTAATCGTAAAGTGCAACTGCGCGTTATATACCTGTACATGTACATTTAGATGTATGTACTTTATACTGACGTATGGCAATATAATGTGTTGAATCAGGTGCAGGCTGCCCGCATGGCTGCATCATGTGTCCGCAGCGTCTCCTCCAGATATGAGGCTGGGTATCGATCTGTTACTGGTCACTTAAAGGAGACACATCCTAGTCATGTCCTGCTTCATATGACTAGAGTCTCTACTGGGACACGTCTTCATTAATTAATGTTCAAAAAGCTCTTTATTTGTCTCGTACTGTCTGTGCTGCAGCGCACATTTTAACCCTGTTTCTGAAACCAGAGCCCAGTCTGCTCTGATTGGTTAGCTGGCCGGCTCTGTTGTGATTGGTCACCAGATACAGATGTCCCGCCCCTTAGCCTATCACGTACAATGTGTTGGAGCACTAGCCAATAGGAGCGTGAGTGTTCCACAGTGATGTCACTATTTTCAGGAAGTAAACATCGAATGGAGGTTTTTGGGCCATTGGGGGGTGGGAGAGAAACACAGGGATTTGAGCCTCTGCAGACCATTTACATGCACTAACACCTACAGGAGAGGGAACACCACAACAAGCAGAATAGGTCCCCTCTTTTTTAAAGTGTGTTGGCTTCAGACTGCTGAGTCTCGTGGAGGAACAGATACAGATTTGACTTTATTAGCTAACAAAGTCACAAGTTTAGTTAAAAAACAAGAACACAGATGTATTATATCATGGTATGAGTAGATTACAATGCACCTGCTCTAATGTTATTAGTATTAGTATTAAAAGAATGGATAATATATATCTTTTTAAACTGACACTCAAAAGGTACTTGAATTGCAGGGATCTTAAAACAAAGATAACAACCCCCTGATATTCAGACATCCAGCTGTGACTTCACTACGGACGACAATTTAGAATTGATTTTTAAATGATTGTACTGGTTTTATAAAGCTCTTAGTGGTTTGGCACCCGCATTTTATTTGTATTATCCCACCTTTTACCTCCTCGTGTCCCTGCAGCGACTACGGGCATTACTTTGACTTCCAACTGTTTACTTTCACGATTGACATCAGCACCATTAGCTGTGATAAGGTGTTTCCAACAGGCGTACTGACTGACCGGTTCCCATTGGTTAAGATAGGTAGGCAGGTAGGTAGGTAGGTAGGTAGGCAGGTAGGTAGGTAGGCAGGTAGGTAGGTAGGCAGGTAGGTAGGCAGGTAGGCAGGTAGGTAGGCAGGTAGGTAGGCAGGTAGGTAGGTAGGCAGGTAGGTAGGTAGGCAGGTAGGTAGGTAGGCAGGTAGGTAGGTAGGTAGGTAGGTAGGCAGGTAGGTAGGCAGGTAGGTAGGCAGGCAGGCAGGTAGGCAGGTAGGCAGGTAGGCAGGCAGGTAGGTAGGTAGGTAGGCAGGTAGGTAGGCAGGTAGGCAGGTAGGTAGGCAGGTAGGTAGGTAGGCAGGCAGGCAGGTAGGTAGGTAGGCAGGTAGGTAGGCAGGTAGGTAGGCAGGTAGGCAGGTAGGTAGGCAGGCAGGTAGGTAGGCAGGTAGGCAGGCAGGTAGGCAGGCAGGTAGGTAGGCAGGCAGGTAGGTAGGCAGGTAGGCAGGCAGGTAGGCAGGCAGGTAGGTAGGCAGGTAGGCAGGTAGGTAGGCAGGCAGGTAGGCAGGTAGGCAGGTAGGTAGGCAGGTAGGTAGGTATACAGGCAGGCAGGCAGGTAGGGCAGGTAGGCAGGTAGGTAGGCAGGTAGGCAGGTAGGTAGGCAGGTAGGTAGGTAGGTAGGTAGGTAGAGAGTTTTTAATGGTCACATATATCCCAACTGTTATAACTTAGATTATTTTAAGCTTATTAAACAAGGAAAATGCAAACATACATTAATCTTTAAAAGATTAAATCAAGCTTTATTATTATTAGAGCACATTACAACAACTGTGAACATACACAAACCCTAACCCTCAAAGACTGCAACCACTACTATTTAGAAATACTATATGGCTATTTTACTAATATATATTTCTAGACTGTAAGTGTGAATAAGCACATTGACATTGAAAGTTATCTCGTTGCTCTGCTTTTACCACTCTTATTTATTGTCTTGTTTTACTGCAGTGAGAGTTGCCACTTTGTATGAAGACAATAAAGATGTATTCTATTATAGTTGTAGTAATTGTTGTGTGCCTCATCTCCCCCCTAGGCCCCGGGCAGGCGGCAGGAAGCAGAAGGAGCTTCCCACGGAGCCTCCCTTCACGGCGTACGTTGGGAACCTGCCGCTGAACGCCGTGCAGGGCGACATCGACATCATCTTCAAAGAGCTCAACATGCGCAGCGTGAGGCTGGTCCGCGACAAAGAAACAGACAAGTTCAAAGGTCAGTGCCACGAAGTCGCTGGCCTTGATTTGATTTATTTCGAATGTGTAAAGAAATTATGATAATAATTAAATGAAACATGAGAATTATAATACTGTACAAACTTAAGGAGTGTCAAATTGATAAACAAAAATATAACTGACTTAGAAATGATATATAAACAAATAATCTACGTAATACACATCCGAAAAGGGGCGGGAAGGAGTTTACACGCATTTAATCTCACCCCTTCTCCCAAAAACTATATTATTAACACATATATATTTGTTGCTTAAAAGAATACATTTGTTATTGAAAAACAAATACATGAAAGGTAAATGGTAATCAAGAAAAGATAAATAACAAACCAAATAAACCCAGGGGGTCCGCGGGGTCCTAAAAAGTATTAAAGGGCATTTTCCAAGGTGTTACATTTTGGAGCTTGTTTTCAATAAGTATATGAATGGTCCAGAGAGGTTGTATTCTACAGTCTGCCTGAATGTAATCATGGCGTAGGTGTGTAGTGTGATTCTGTGGAGTTTATTGATGGCATCCCGTTGGGTTTGACGTCATCTGAACAGGACATCGCACGCTCACTGCTTGATAGCGCGAAGGTACGGTTGTTAAACAACATCGTTACGGGGAAATGCAAGTCTGCGTCCAAATGGCTTGAAGATAAGGAGGAAGGACATCAAGACTGTATATAGTCAATGTGAGGTGAAGTGTGTCGCCAAGGTAACCGGTTAGAACTCAAAGTGGCGATGAGGTCTTAAAATTAGTGGTGCACGATAATTATCGGCCCGATATTAGGAATTATGACGTCATCCCGATAAACCCGATAAAAGTATTAATAGCCCCGATAATATACAATATATTTTTTGGGTATAAAAAAAGAAACAAATACTGCGGTGTGGGTGGATTGGGATGAGGGGCGCTTGTTTTTCACTCGGCTCCTCCCGTTTTGCCAGTACTGTGGTATTAGTGGTTTAGGAAGAGGGGAGTTCTTCACTAATCCAGCACTCCCTAACTCGTGTCTGGCTGTGACGTAAATGGTGTGCGGCCGTGAAGCCAGGACAGTAAACAAACATGTCGCCGGTAGTATGGGACTATTTCAAAGTTTCAGAGTTAGATAGTTCGCTTGCTATTTGTATTAACAAATGCAGAAGTTCCACGAGGAGGGAGAAAGGCAACGAGCTATAATACTTCCAACCTGATTAGTCACCTGAAACATCGCCATCGCTACGATGGTGTGTTAAAAGCGTACAAAGACGCCTGCGCTGCTAAACTAGAGGCGAATCCAAAGCCAGCTGCAAAGGCACCGGGGCTTTTACCTATCGACGAGGCTTTTGGAAAAGGCAAGAAGTTTATTTGGGAAAATAAATATGGTCACTTTGAAGAGTCAAAACTGTTCTTGGCTTAGTTTTGTTCATAGTAGTAACGCTCATGTCATTTGCTCACTACTAGTCTTTGTTTTACCACCAGGTGTGCAAAAACTACAGGTACATTTAATATATATATTATATTATTATCGGTATCGGTCTTGAGAAGCAGGAAGTTATCGGTATCGGTTTAAAAAAAACAATATCGTGCATCCCTACTTAAAATGTATGGGAAGGGTCTTCGAAAAGGTCTTCCATGTGACTTCAGGACTCCTGCAGATACCCTGAAACCGTAAACACCCAGTTAGGATTAAACAACTTAGTTCTGCGTATGTTTCCGAATACGCAGTTACGTCCCCATGATGCCTTTTATCTTTGGTTTGATTAGTTATAAAATACTTTAATTTGTCCTTATTTAATAAACACTTTCTGTTCATTCATCAGCAAAGGAAAGCATTGGAAGAAGTACTTCCATTAATTGAGTAAAAGTACAAATACTAGTATGGTCCTAAAACACTCCACTGCAGGTAAAAGTCCTGCTCTCAAATCTGAACTTTATTAAAAGTACAAAGTATCGGCAGCTAAATGTAATAATTAGTACAAAAGGTAATCATTAGCTCCATTTCTATCTAAATGTACTCAGAAGTAAAAGTGCTGTTTATGCAGAGTGGATGTTTTCACATTATATGATCCTTTTTTTATAGCATTGTAGTTTGGCAACGCGGACCGAGTTTAGATCGTAGAAATACTGAATAAAACTTCGGCACTTTCTCGACAACACCGAGGAGTGGATTATGAGATATTAGATTGAATTAGCGCTGCGCGATATTGGAAAAAACGGACATTG